ACCCTGACTCGGTCACACATGGTGCAGCAGGTCCTTCAGCGCTTCGGCTTCTCGTACTCCTCGCCTCAGGCCACTCCTCTGCCTACTCGCCACTCGCTCTCAGCTCTGCCTTCGGATGAGTCCGTAGAGTCGAGTGGCCCGTATGCAGAGCTTGTTGGTTGCCTCATGTACCTGATGACCTTCACACGACCTGACCTTGCATACCCTCTTAGCATTCTCGCACGCTATGTTGCTCCTGGGAGACACAGACCGGAGCACATGGCTGCAGCGAAGAGGGTGTTGCGCTACTTGTGCAGTACGTCAGGCATGGGGCTTGTGCTTGGAGGGCAGAGTCCAGTGGTCCTCACTGGGCATGCAGACGCTTCTTGGGCTGACGACCAGGCTACGCAGCGGTCGTCACAGGGTTACACCTTCAGCCTTGGTTCCGGCTCTGTCTCGTGGAAGCCAATCTCGCTCGTCTTCTGTTCTCGGCTCCAGTTGTGAGGCTGAGATCTACGCAGGAGCCATGGCTGCACAGGAGCTTTGCTGGCTCACCTACCTGCTGACTGACCTCGGAGAGCCGCCTCGTTCTCCTCCTGTGATGTACGTAGACAACAAGGCCATGCTGGCCTTGTGCCGGGAGCAGCGACCGGAGCACAGAACGAAGCACATTGCTCTCCGCTACTTTCTTGCTCATGAGCTGCAGCAGCGTGGTCAGCTGCGTCTTGCGTACGTGGCCTCTGAGGCCAACACAGCTGATATTTTCAACAAGGCGCTTGCGCCTTGTGACCATCAGCGCTTCCGTACTCAGCTGGGCCTTGTGCCTACTTTGCCTCACTTGCTCACCTCTTGACCTTGCTTGTACTGTTACATATATATATACCTGCTCTTGCTTGTCTAGCCTTCTTTATATATATGTACTCCTGCATGTGAACTGGCCTTGTGGCCTTGAACTTGTGCTCGGAATGTGTGGTGACTTTGTGATCCACCCTGAGCTTGCTTTGCTTTGCTTTGCTTGACTGGTCTTGTGACCCCTTGTTCTCCCCCACTTTGCCTATGGGGGTGTGTCTGAACATTATAGCTCATGCATGTTGTGTAGGCTATAGTGGGGTAGCCCATAAGGGGTACAACCCAATTAGGGTTAGTACTTGTACCCAACTCATTCATAGTTCATTCATTCTCGTTTCTTCTCACGCCAGGCCCGCGCGCGGCCAGTATGGGCTGCGCCAGGCCCGCGCGCGGCCCGTACGAATTGCGCCAGGCCCGTGGGCGGCCCGTTCTTCGCTGCCCTTGCGCTGCCCGCTGTCCCCCGTGCTTTTGATGGCGCACCACCTCTGCTGCTGCCCGTTCTCCTGGATTAGGGTTTGGGGATGGGGGGTATGGGGGTGCAGCTTCTGTGTGCCGTCCCCTGCTCCTCCTCCTCCTCCGTCTCCCAGTGCTGCAGCTGCCGCTGAGGGGGGGTGGACTTGTTGGAGCCATCGGAGTGGTACTAAGGGGGGTGAAGGGGGAGTGGAGCTAGGGGTGAAGCAGGGCATGTGTGTTAGGGGGGGTGGGACTGTTTGGGGAGGTTGAACGAAGGTTGCTGTCGTGTCGCGAGCAGCACCTGTAGTCCGGGGAGTTGCTCCGGTAGCCCAGTCGCAGCCACCTGTGCCAGTCGCCCGTGGGACCGTTGCTCGTCTGCCGCTACTTTTAGCCGCGGGGCCAGTTACTCCAGTAGTCCGGAGCGCTGTTCCGGTTGCCGCTGTGCCAGTGTGCCTCCTGTTGCCCGTGTGTCTGCAGCTTCAGTCGTCGCCTCCTATCTCCTCTCCTCTTACAGTCTTGCCTCCTCCTCCTCACTTGCCCTCTGCGATAGCCTCTAGCTTTGCTCATAATTGTGAATTTTAAACTATTGCTTCTTGTACTTGTGCTCAGAATGTGTGGTGACATTGTGATCCACCCTGAGCTTGTTGTGCTTTGCTTGCTCTGCTGATTACACCCCACTTTGGCTAAGGGGGTGTGTCAGAATGTTATGCTCTAGCTTGTAGTGGGGTGCTCTATAGCAAGTACAACCCTTCTAGGGTTTGCTATTTGTATCCTCATTCCTGCTAGTGAACCTCCTCTTTGCCTAAACTGTTTCTTGCCTAGCTAGGGCTTTCCTAGCTATGGCGCCTTCTTCTACTGCTTATCTTCACACGCCGGGCCATGCGGCGCAACGACATTCGTTGCCGCAGCGAAATCAGGGAGGCCGCCGATCAGGATCACGTCGCAGTTCTACTTGCCAGGAGCAGCTCCTGCAACTCCTGATGCACCTCTTTGTCCGTCCGCACGAGTACAATTTCGACGAGACTGCCCTGAATTTGTTGGTCTTACCTCGCAATACGTACGGTGGTGCGCGCGTGGCGGGGCGGAAGTTGGGAAGGAGCGCCTCACCGTCAGGTTGCTCATGAACACGGACGGTAGCTGTGCATTCCGCCCCTTAATCATCTTTAAGGCTAAGCGCCCGCACGACTTTCTTCCCGATTACGACCTGGAGGAGCTACGCTACTAGCGTCACACCACTAAGGGATGGATGACGGCGCCGGTAAGCATTAGAGTTATTGCTCACATTCGCGCACATCCGATTTGATGTTGTTTGGTTTGCCAATATGATTCACATATGCTTCACACTTATGCGTTTCTTTTGTGCCTACGCATTTCGTGCAGCCTTTCACACACTTTATTGGGCAGCTCAACGCCGCCATGGTGGCGAGGACCGCCAGGTCGTCATACTCTTGGACAATGCGAGCAGCCACGTCATCAGGAGCGACGCCGCCACATCGGAAGACCTTTTCGGCTTCCGCACTTGGGGCATCGGCAACTTCAGGCTTGTCTTTCTGCCGCCCAACACGATTGCCTTCACGCAGCCGCTCGACCAGGGGCTGATCGCAACAACTAAGGCACGCTACTGCGTGCACTGGCTTCGTGCGGCCACGGCCAGTTGGCAAGATGCGGGCGCCATGCCCGTGATGGCACGATACCGCCCGAACATGCGCGACATCATCGCCTGGCTCTCGAACGCTTGGATGAACATCCTCGTGCGCACGATCCAGCGTTGCTGGTGGCACACGGGGTGCATGCCGTGCTCGTGGGCCATGCACCTGGCGCATGTTGGCCTCGACGGCGGCAATGGCGCGAATGCCGCTCTCCCCATCGACCTCGACGAGGACATCGGGGATGCCGGCATCATGATCGCCCGTCTTGGCCTAGAGCCTAGCGCTATGCCGGCCACTGCATTTGTCGTCATCGACGACAACCAGCCCACGTGCGCTGAGCTGCTTGCCCTTAGCCCGTAGTGGGGTATTCAGGCGCCATGGTATTCCGTCATAGGAGGCACCCTCCACCGACCCAGAGAGCAGTGAGGCGCGGCGTTATGCACGAGCGGCGAGCGAGATGCTCATTAGCTACGCACGTGCCACCGGCATCACGCCGCGCAACCTTAGCGCGCTTTTCGAGATCAATAACCCTATCATCGTCGACCACATGGAGCGCGCCAGCTCCGCGCTGAACCTAAACACGACGCCGCCGCTCGCTCCCCAACCTGCTTAGCGACTCCAACGCAGGCTCCTGTCGCCACCACGCAGGCGACCACTCCTCGACACCGCTGACGCATTCTACCTGCGTGGATGTATGCGCCTGCTCCCACCCACCATCAGCTTATTGACTCTGACGTGAGTGCCGTCATGAACGGCTATGTGGATGCCGCGGAGTGGATGGCTTTGTGAAGGGGTTGGTCACCCCTTAGAGGAGAACGACTCTTATCGGTGCACAGATTTGCAGATCTTGTACACAATTGTGCACTGTTAGTAGCCCCGTGTGTTGCTTCATGTGCACAGCTGTGAGTCTGGGATTGGCCGAAGTGAGATGGTTGCATGTTCATGCCTGTTTGTGAGTAATTATGTAATCGGGTGCTACAGAAATGGAAAAACAATGTGGTAACACTGGTAACACATATCAAACAACCACAACCACCCTACACTGTTGTGGTTTAACTTAAACGGGGTGTTACACATTCCAGTTAAACGCCCACCATGACCGAGGCGAAGTGCGCGGAATTGCGCGAAATGGCAAATCAGTTATATACCCTCTTCACAAGGCTGGTATGGGGGACTCAAACGCGAACAGGTGTACAGCACACCGAGGTTTGAATGAGAGGTGTTCATGTGGGGGAGGGGAGGAGGACGGGACGGGAGAAACAAACAAGGTTTACTGTAGTGGTCCAATGTTTAATTTTCACCAGTCCATCCGGGCCCTGGTGGGTTCGAACCCACCAGCATTTGCATCAGCAGATAGCGAAGCGACTTCCCTTCGTCGTGAATGTACAGTACAAGTTTCACCAGTTTGGGTTTCACCTCGAACACGACAAGGTCCTGATTTTGGGTTGGATGTCCCCGCCGTATGATGCCATGGTGCCACTCAGCAGCACAGTGGGTGGAAATGAATGGGCGATGATGGGGAAATCGGATCAAGACTTTACCGTCGACTCTTTCGTTTATCTGATGCCCCACTTTCCTTGGAGCTGCCCTAAAATCGCAACCAACGATCGCGGTCATCAACAATCACACCCTTGACACGGAGTTGGCAGGAATGCAGTACACGTACACCCAACGAAGTACTAATTCTTGATCTGCGTCTCGGATCAGAACGGGAAAACAGACATGGAAACACATGCGCGCGGGCCCACTGCACCATTTGGCCATCTTTGAACCAGCACATCGGATCTCTTCAACCTCATAGAAACGGACAAAAGCCTCCACGACAGACAAATCATTGCTGGATCAAGCTTTCAAGTTGATAGACCCATGCTTCTACAGTAAGAAGCAATAGTACACTGTAAAAAAAATCATAAGTGCCAGATTCAGGGAGAGATATATGCGGATCACACTAATGGTTTGAATCCCCCTATTACTCCATTGGCAAAAGAAATATATGGAAACATCAAATTTGGCGCATACTATTTATCTTGCCTACCACTCCCTACAAGTCTTATGCACGTTGTGCTTATTCTAAAGCATGCGAACAAACGTCTGGTGCTCGGGGTGGCGGTAGTTGCGGTTGTACCAATACCATCCACCGTATCCGAGCACTCCAATGGCGACGATAATGACCAGCACGAGAGCAACAATGGCACCCGTGCTCGGCCCGCCGCCACCACCAGAGGGTGCAGGCGCCTTGGCAGTGGTGGTATTGTAATCCTGCAAAAACAGACGGGGGAAGGTAAGGAAGAATACCTCATTTCATAAGCTGCCTCAAAATTCAAGAACCATCACAACAGATCAGATCACAGCAAGGGTAGTGCAGGGTGGTTGCAGGCCATGCAGCCATCTGCTTCTAACCCACTCAGGTCCCTCTCCCTCCCTTCTCACCTTCTCTCCCCATACGGTCACTACACACTCCCATGTGTCTGCCTTTAGCTCTCTCCCCCTCCTCACCTTCTCCTTGGCACCGGGCAGGTCATCAAAAGTGTCTGAAATCTCCTGCGGCTTGTTGATGCCGCCCGGGATGATGGCAGGCTGGGCGGCCATCTGCTTCATGAGATCCACCTTCCAAGTGGGCGGCAGTGGGCCCGGGCGCTCAATGTAGTCCAGGTTGGGGTTGATGTCGTAGCTGCCAAGCACCCACTTGCTCTTCTCCTGAAGGATAGAGAGTACACAAGAGGGAAATAGGTCAGGGACAGGGAGTGGGGCGTTCAATGTAGTCCAGGTTGGGGTTGATGTCGTAGCTGCCCAGCACCCACTTGCTCTTCTCCTGCGGTGGGAAAGGAGAAGAGGGCATAGCGATTACACACTCGAGGAGTGAGAAGGCACACAGATGGCAGTGGGCCGAAATGTTCAGGCAGGTGGGACTGACCTTCCAGGTGACGTCATAGAGCGTGTAGAACCCGTATTGGGAAGCAGAGGCCATGAAACATGTGGGAATATCTCCAGCAATGCTCACAAAGACTGACCTTCCAGGTGACGTCAATGAGGTTGTAGAACCCGTATTGGGGCGCAGAGGCCTCCGTCTGCCTCTCCCCTGTGGTGCTGTTGAACGAGACGGTGCCAGAGGCGCCGTTGAACGCCACACACTGCGAGGGGATGCCTCGGAAGCAGTCCAGCAGTAGCGGCGCCGTTACCTCCTTGCCTGGCGACACAAGGACGACCAGTGGGAAGATGCAGGACAACAAAGAGACAGACAAAAATTGGTGCTGCGGCCACAAGACATGAAGCAACTGCGCCGACCAACAATGAAAAAAACAAAACAAAACAAAACAAACAAACTTCAAACAAACGAGGCCCTGTACCTTGGTCAACGACAATCGACTTGAAAGCTTCAAAGAATGCCCAGATGGAGTCAATCAGGTTGGTGACGTAGGCTCGGGCTTCGGTGAACTGCACAAGTCAAGGTGGCAGGGGAGGGAGGCAAGGCAGAAGATACAGAGAGGGAGCAGTCAAATGCAAGAGACAGTGGGGAGGGGAATGCCTAGATGGAGTCAAAATCAGGTTGGTGACATAGGCTCGGGCTTCGGTGAACTGCAAAAGTCAAGGTGTGAGGGGAGGGAGTTAAGGCAGCAGATACAGAGAGGGAGCTGTCAGATGCAAGAGACAGTGGGGCGGGGAATGCCCAGATGGAGTCAAAATCAGGTTGGTGACGTAGGCTCGGGCTTCGGTGAACTGAGAAGGGTGGCAGGGGAGGGAGGCAAAGCAGCAGATTCAAGGAACCGTGAGATGCGAGAGACTGCAAGACTGGAAAGTGCAAGGCCAGCTTGAGTAGATTAGGTTGGTGACATGGGCAGGGGCTTGACAGGTAGAATCAATTAGGTTGGTGACATGGGCAGCAGCTTCACAGGTAGAATCAATTAGGTTGGTGACATGGGCAGCAGCTTGACAGGTAGAATCAATTAGGTTGGTGACATGGGCAGGGGCTTGACAGGTAGAATCAATTAGGTTGGTGACATGGGCAGGGGCTTGACAGGTAGAATCAATTAGGTTGGTGACATGGGCAGGGGCTTGACAGGTAGAATCAATTAGGTTGGTGACATGGGCAGGGGCTTGACAGGTAGAATCAATTAGGTTGGTGACATGGGCAGGGGCTTGACAGGTAGAATCAATTAGGTTGGTGACATGGGCAGGGGCTTGACAGGTAGAATCAATTAGGTTGGTGACATGGGCAGCGGCTTGACAGGTATCACAGTTATTCACAGCGGCACGCACGGGCTGCCGTGAACTGAGGGAGACAAAGGGGAAGCGAGGGCGGTGGTGGGAAGAGGGAAAGTGACTTCGTCGATGCAAGAGATTGCAAGCTTGGAAGGTGGAAGGTGAAAGGTGGAAGGCCAGATAGAGTCAATTAGGTTGGTGACATGGTGAACCGAAGTCCTTCTGTGAACCGAAGGCCTTCTGTGAACCGAAGGTCTTCAGTGAACCGAAGGTCTTCAGTGAACCGAAGGTCTTCAGTGAACCGAAGGTCTTCAGTGAACCGAAGGTCTTCAGTGAACCGAAGCAGTCCAGGCACATACCCGGGGGGAGGCGTCGAGCGTGAGCAGGCCAGGGTACTCCTCGTGCGCCTTGGTGCCACCAAGCTGCCGGCTTTCAGTCACTGACAGCACGCACATACCCTTGGGGAAGCGTCAAGCTTGACAGCTAGCTATCACAACAACACGTGCATACCCGGGGGGAGGCGTCGAGCGTGAGCAGGCCAGGGTACTCCTCGTGGGTCTTGGTGGCCCAGAAGTCCTTGAACTGGTTGAAGGGCGACGTGCGCGGATGGTAGTTGCCCTCTGCGCGTGGGGGGGAGGATCAAAAGGGTAGATAGGGGGAGGGCAGGGAAAGAGGCAGGGACAGGGAGAGGGGGACGGGGAGGGAGAAGAGCGAGAACAGGAGAACGAGAACGTGAGCAGGCCAGGCTACTCCTCGTGGGTCTTGGTGACCCAAAAGTCCTTGCAATGTAAGGTAAGTGCTATACATGCAGCAAGCAAGCCAGTGACTTACTGTAAGGCCCGACGCCAATCTCTCCCAGCAAGGCGTGTGTGAGGTTGGTTAGGTCATTGCCTGCAGTCGTGTTTTGAGTCGCCTCAAAACACGACTCTTTTTTAGTCGGCTCAAAAATGCAAGCAAGCCAGTGACTTACTGTAAGGCCCGACGCCAATCTCTCCCTGCAAGGCGTGTGTGAGGTTGGATAGGTCCTTGCCTGCACGGCACCAGGGAAGTGTGAGAGAGGAAACATAAACATGTGAAAGAAAGAAAACCAGATATCATTTTTTTTTTGCTTCATAATTCCCGTTTCACAAATGGGCCTCGCAATTATCCTCGTTACAACTTGAAAAGGACAAGCGTACCTTCACCAACGAGGTCAAATGCAACGGCGCCATCAGCTCCCAGGTACCAGTACGGGAACTTGGTCTGGCCCTGAAGTGCGTGAAGGAAAAGAGGGAGAGGGGGGGAAGGGAGCAGCGAAAGGGATTGCCATCAGCTCCCAGGTAACAGAACGGGAACTTGGTCCGACTCATCAGGGGCTAGACAAACCAACTCACCAGGATCCGGCCAAACCAACTCATTAGCCGGAATGGCGCCTTTCACAGGGTCTCTGTTATGTTGGCCAGCGTTAGACAAACCAGCTGACCAGATACGGCCAAACCGACTCATTAGATCCGGCCGAACCAACTCACCAGCCGGAACGCCGTCTCCCACAGGGCCTCCGCGACGTTGGGCAGCGTGGCGAAGACGCAGACGGACGCGTTGCTGGGCTTCATGTTGGCGAAGTGCTGGTCGAGGGCCGAGGGGTCCACGGGGTACGACACCTTGATCGGCTGCAGCACGCGCTGCCCGCCCAAGATGTTCTGCTCGGGGTGGGGAGGAAATGGGAAGCGAGAAAGAACAGGGGGAAGCGGGGGGGCGGGGAGGGGCGGGGGGAGCGCAGGGAGCGAGGGGAGAAGGGGGAGAGGGAGGGGTGGAAGATGAGGGCAACGTGGCGAAGACGCTGACGGACGCGTTGCTGGGCTTCATGTTGGCGAAGTGCTGGTCGAGAGCCGTGGGGTCGACGGGGTACGACACCTTGATCGGCTGCAGCACGCGCTGGCCGCCCAAGATGTTCTGCTCGGGAGGGAAAGGAGGGGGGGAAGGGGGAGGGAAGGGCAGAGCGGGGGCGAGCGGGTCGAAGCGGGCGGGAGCGTGGGTGGAAAAGTGAGAATCTGCTTCCTCCTTTTCTGGTCGAAGTTGAAATGCTTGATCTGGAGGAGAACGAGCGGCCGTAAAATGTACTGAATCGCCTTATAACGAGGATATAGCTCACCCTGATGCCCTTAGCGAGCGAGGTGCCGTAAATCTCGTCCGAATAGAAGAGGTGAATCTGGTCGAAGTTGAAGTGCTCGATCTGGAGGAACGCACGGGGAACAGGACGAGGCAGCAGAAACGGAGGGAGAAAGAGTGGATAAGAGGGATGAGAGATATCACCAAGAGGGGTGAAATGGGAAGTGCGTAGCCGTAAACGAAGAGAGAGCAGAAGAACGGGAAGAGTTGGAGTCGACAGATGGCGGAGAGAAAGAGGCGGAGAGGAAGGGGCGGAGAGAAAACAGCGAAGAGGAAGCTGCGGAGTGGAAGGGGCGGAGAGGAAGGGGCAGAGAGGAAGGGGCGAGTGTAAGGTTCGGAATGCAAGGGGCGGAATGGAAGAAATGAAAGGGACCGGATGGTGGAAAGTTGGGAATGGTTGATGGCCAAGGTGACTTACGACGGATTTAATGGCGACCGCTTGGTCCGCGTCGGGGAAGCTGAAGCCAAGGGACGCACGGGGAAGATTCGCGGGAAAGGAACGGGAGAAGCAGGGATCAAACGGGAAAATCCCATACGGTGAGAAGACAGTAAGATATGCAGTGTGAAGTAAGGCAGTGGAGGGTGCGCAATGAACAGCGATAGTGTACACGGTGCGGAAAAAAGTGGGTTCTCAGTCGCTGGCGAAGCCGTCGGCAGTGGCGGCGAGCGGCGACGAAAGTGACGAACGGGTTACCAGCGACAATTAACGGGTGCTAGATGGTAACGTACATAGTAGTGCGGAAGAAGGTGGGGTACTCGAGGTCGTTGAAAAAGTCGTCGGCAGTGGCTGCGAACGAGACGAAAGCAATAATCGGGTTACCCGTGCAGTAACGTACACAGTGCGGAAGAAGGTGGGGTACTCGACGTCGCTGGAGAAGCCGTCGGCAGTGGCGGCGAAGGAGACAAACGGAATTCCGGCCGCCTTGAGCACGGGGTTCGCACCCTTCACGGCCTCGGAGCACGCCGGACCCACTACGCCGACCACGTTCGTGTAGACTAGCCGCTGAAATTCGAGAGACACGGGAAGACGAAGAAAGGGAGAGCACATAAGCTGAGCATGGTAAGCGGTGACCTTGCGACATGACAATACCAACAAGGAAAACGCGAAACGGATGTTTGTCGAAAGAGTAACACCGAGGACATTCGTTCAGACGAAAGCGACGCATCCTATTGAATGCGTCCCGTTAAGGGCATCCTCGTTATTCAGCATGTCAGTTCTCCTATGAAGAGACGATATCTGGATCACCCCGTTAAGAGCGTCCTCGAATCGTGACCAGCACGCCAGGTCTCCTTGGAGGTCGGAGATATAGGATGCGAAGAACCGTGACTCACATATCCTGAGAGATTTCCTTCACGTTTCATCAAACCTTTCCTAGGCAGACAAAAATGATACTATTGTAACAGATCAGACCCACCTGTGCAGCCTGAGCGGCAACTTCGGCGTCGCATGCGGAGTTTTGGACGAACGGCTCGACGACGAAGTTGTTCTCGTACTGGGGTCCCAGCACCTCCAGAGCCACACGGACGGCGGAGATCCTGCCACGACAGCATTGGACGCACGAGATGCAAGGATTCATTTATGCACGTCGGAGGCCAGAATCTATTGATGAAACCTCTCACGAGGCCTTTGAAAATCTCTCTTGCGGAACTTGTAACAGCAATAACAAGCTGTCGCGTGACCGACACGATCAATTGTCTTGCGACGGTGGCAACCTTTAAGATGCATTTGTGATGCACCCTTCGTCATTTGGATGCAACCTCCTGGTCATTTCACAGAAGCATAGCGGTGACTTTGGAGTCGACATGAACACAACTAGACAAATATCTCGTCATTATCTCTGCAGTGCCGAACCATAAACGTGAGGTGACCTAGCGGGAGACTCTCGGGTGAGGGGTCTAACCATTCGTCGGCGAGTCGTTGCGGAACGGCGGAGTCGCCATCAGGATACGGTAGGAGGAACCCAAGCCGAATCACTTGTTGAGCTTGGCACGAGCTAGCGATGAGCAGAAGAACCACCAAACACGAGGGCCATCTAGAGAACGCCATGGCTCAAGACACCAATACCCACACCAAGGTCTTCCTAGAAACTCCAACTCGCCAGAAGCCTTGAAACTACTCCAGAAGTTGGAGGACGTGAAATCAAAACCGAGGAGAGAAATGAAGCGGACCAAGCAACAACTGAGGAGGTTCCCTCGATAAATTCGGTCGCTGCTGCGGATAAGCAGAAAGCTTGTGTGGGGGGAGTAGGGGGGTGGTCGTGACAGGGAGGAGGGAATACAGTACGGGTGGTAAGGGAGGGGGAAAGCTAGAAGGTATGTCAGACGCTGTGGGGGGAGGGATGTGAAAGGCCAGAGGGATGTGAGGGGCTTGGGGGAAAGTAAAGGTGTAACATATCATTCGCATCGTTTCATTTCGGTATACGTCGGTTCTCAGGGGTTGAGCTGAACTTACGGGAATGGTGAAGCAACTGGAGCTTTCCATCCACAGAAGCGTGTCCAGTCCAGGCCTAGTTCCAATCGCCAGACCAGAGACGGCTTGATCCGTCGGTCAGACACATGGCACAACGCGGATTCGGGCGGGACAGGCTGCTCCGAAGCGGAACTGGTAGGTCCGGAATTGAGCGAAGCGGGCGCTCTGGTTCTTTGAACTTGCTGGTTCAGAATGAAGCCTTTGAGGTCAGGTAGAACTACCAAAGCATCTGCAGATTCATTAACAAAAACGGTTACAGCAAACGAGGGAAGCTGTGAACGATTGGTGTCTTTTGCTGCATTGTTAATTCTTCACTTGCCAGATAGAAATAACGCTTAGCCCGCTGATGCGTTCTGGAATTTGTAAATGACTGTAAACACAATCGTAAATCATGAGGTTAAATTTTAGGGGCAGGCTGAGAACCACAGCCTTGGCGTGAACCATGTGCGGTGTGGTTCGAGAATTCTGTCCTTGGTTAGGGTAGCCGTTGGTGGCAAGACCTCGTTGGTTTAGATGAGGTTTGGAGGACCAAAGCAAGCACCTTGGCTTCGCTTCGCCCCATAGCATCCCTTGCCTGACGCATTTGTTTCCTTGCGCGGTTCGCAGGCATCAGTGGGTCTGACGGCTCGGAATTGGGACGCAGCCCTGAATCCTGCGGGAAATCCCGCCCGAAAGTCGAGCCGCGGTTGTCACGCACAGATTTTCACAATCAAAGCCCAAGTGTTCGACAATGAAAGCATCGGTAAGCAATTTATCGACTTTGTACACTTGTGGTAGCCACACAAAGTCTGGTTAGCAAAATGGAGAAATAACCCATATGAAATGTGATCCTCGAAAGCAACACTCCTCTACACACCGCTTTCGTCAGAACCTTCGGTTCCTGCTGCTGTGCTGTGTCAAGTCGGGCCGCGTGCTTGCGCCAGCCTGCCCTACAAGCGCGGCTCGGCATGCTTGGCAGCTGACCATGTCACACGGAATGACTGGCGCTGCTCCAGCCTTCTTGCGGTCAATTTGGGCATCGTGCCCAACCAATCACCCGAATGATCCAGTCGCTACTGGATACAATTATGCTTCCTTCGTCACATTTCGGTGCTGTTCGGGAGCCCTAGAAATGAGAATGAGCGCAAAGTCAGTGATAGGTATGGCACCGAGCCTTGATCGAGATAAGGACAAACACCCACTTGGAACACTGTAAGGTGTTGACCGAAGTCTGTACAGTGTTGACAGCTGGAGAAACGGACAGGGATTTGCATAGTCAACGCTGCATGCTGGGCAAAAAAGACAACGTAATCCGTGCAAAAATCACAACGAAATCGAAGTCAAAGATCGCGCTGCTCTATCACAACCACCTCCCCCAGAACATCCCATCCCTGCTCCATTTCCCTTCTCAAAAGAAAATCTCTAAACCATTCTGAACCACTCTATGTTGCCCAGAAAGTTTACCCAGGAAAATATTACTCATCTTGCGCTCGTGGTAGCATGGCGAGCGGAAAGTCACCACAAATTTGCCTGTGATTACTGTTCAGTCAATGGGCGGTATGGGCTCGAGATCGGTATCTCGAGCCGCTGATGAGTGGTTGCTGATGTTGATGTTTCCAAACCGTGAGGTTTGGTCACGACGGAGGTCGCATGGGGGTCGCACATGATTTTTGGGCTTCCGAACCTACTTTCTAGCTTATTTAGTGATGGTTCACCTCATTTCTCCTCCTCCCGAACAGCACCTTCGTACGACTGATCGAATTCATAAACAAACTACTGGGTGATTTCTTGGTGGTGCAACGCAAGTTTATCGTGAATTTGGGCCTTCTCGTCCTAACGAGGATACACTCTCTGCTGAGTTGCCCTAGCAAAAATGGTGGGGCGCGTGGTTAGGGGCTGCGAGCTAGGCTGAGATGTGCTTTCTCCAGAAGGTTCAGGCTAAAAAGGTTTCAACCAAGCCAGGGCGGTGGCCATTCAAACAGCTCAGCAGCGCAATAGATGGCGATTGGGTAGCCTCGTAGATAAACCTGCTCGCACTGGTCGTGGGGCTGCCACGTCGGCTCGCGAATACTTTTTCTTCGTAGTTTGAATTGATGGGTTCGGGGCTTTCTTGCGAAGCAGAGGTAGATTCTGGGACTGGTCGATTCTGGGTATACTGGTCGTCGCACGCCGCCTCTCGAGGAAATTTCGCGTTGAACAAGAACTGGGCCATCGCTGTCCGTAGTTCCCTCCCATCACAAATCTCTCTCGCTAAGAGACCTTTTTACTCATACCCGGCGGTTGAGCAGTAGATGCGGAGCGGAACCTTTTGCTACACCTTTTTTCGCAGTCGCCAGATCTGACACCTGTCGTACGAGACCGTCGCAAACCGCCCCACGATGAAATTTCGCGTTGACCAAGCGCTTAGGGCTTCGCATTATTTTCCCGCGAAGGATCCTAAACGCAAGCAACAGGCGTTGCCAGTGGTGGGAGCTGGGGGGGAGGGAAATGGCGGAAAGGGGAAATGGGGAGGGGGATTCTCCGCTGCCCCCTTCCTAGACGAGCCATCATCCCTCGTCACGGTGAGCGAGAGGCGGCGGCGGCGTAAGCGCCTATACGAACCACCACAGTGCTGCTGCGCCTGACTCTTCCCCCCGCGATATGCGTGGGTGGGTGGTTGGGTGGTTGTGTCCCCCGTAGACGCCGGATTCAGAAGCAAGTATATAAAGCCCGGGTGCTTGAATCGATCGTTACAAGAGCCTACGAATTCATCCGCTTGTCCCAGAGAAAGATGATTGACTGCTCCCGATTCTAATCTATTCCATAGTCATTCCACGTTTGTCATCCGCTCGCCCATATCGTGATAATTAGTAGCGGCTGCTAGCGTCGGCCAGCCTGGGCGACACGGTGTCTCGGTCGCGAATTGTTAAGTACCATCTCTGTCCGTTCAAGGCTTAAAAGGACCATTTCGACTTACGATCAAGTTGATACTGGTGTGACTCACGGAGTGACTCACGCGGAGCGAGAGTTGGTTCCTCGAAGCGCATCCCGGCTCAAGAATGGCGCGCCGTTGGGTCGCGTTCCTCTGCGCCGCACTGCTCCTCGTGTCACCAGGTACGGCGTTGGTTTCGGTGTCCGTTTCAGAACGCCTCTGAACCGTACAGTTGTCTCAACGCCCTGCTTCCTCCCTCTCGCCCCCTCCACTTCCCCGTCGTCCCTCCCTCTCTCTCTCTACTCGTCTGCAGTCTTGGCTCGTCGCGGGCCTGGGGGCAACGGATGGGGCAACGGCGGTCAAGGCGGCGGCGGTAACGGTCAGGGGGGCGGTGGTAACGGCGGTAATGGTTACGCCTACGATTACGCTGCCGGAAGCGACTACAGCAGCGATGACAGCAGTGCAAGTGACGACAGCAGTGACAGCGATGACAGCAGTGGAAGTGACGACTATTACGCCCCCGGACTTGGCAACGGGAACGGGAACGGCGGCAGCGGTGGCGGCGCTGGTGCTGGTGCTGGTGCTGGTGCTGGGTTCGGCCCAGGACCTTGGTGGGCCGATAACGGTAACGGTAACGGCAGCACGAACGGGCCTCGCTTCTTCAACGGGACTCATGTGTGCTTCAACGAATCCGGCCCGTGTCACAACGTAACGGACGGCTGGAGCCCCTGGTGGTTGGACGAGAACGCTACAGCGCCGTGCTTAAACGGAACCGGGCCGTGCTATAACGAATCAGGCGGCTGGGGCGCGGGCCCATGGTGGTTAGACGAGAACGCCACAGCCCCGTGCTTGAACGGAACTGGGCCGTGCTATAACGGAGATGACTCCAGGCCTTGCATGAACGGAACTGGCGGCAATGGTGCTGGCGGGCCGTGTCAGGGTGGTGGTGGTGGTGGCTACGGACCCGGTCGAGGCGGCGGCAACGGTCCTTGGTGGGACGACGACGACGACGACAATGAGTCTTCTAGCAGTGATTTTCCTGGACCGCCTTTCGGTAACGGAGGGGGTCGATTTGGAGGGCCGTGGTGGCTGGATACGAACGCGACGGACGAGAGTCATCCGTGCTGGAACGAAAGCAGCCCTTGCTTCAACGCCACGGGCCGATGGGGGCCCTGGTGGCTGGACGAGAACGCTACAGCGCCGCCCTGCTTGAACGGAACCGGGCCGTGCTATAATGGGGATGGATCTGGCTGGGGTTTCGGGGGTCCCTGGTGGCTGGACGAGAACGGCACTGCTCCTTGTGTCAACGGAACAGAGCCGTGCTTTAACGGAACGGGGCCTTGCAATAACGGATCTGGATGCGGAAGGGGAGGGTTTGGGAGAGGCGGGTTTGGGAGGGGCGGGGGATTTGGGCGGGGTAACGGTCCCTGGTGGTGGGACGAGGATGACGTGGAGGCATTTAACAGCACCACGTGGCCTTGCATGAGCGGAAACGGCAGTGGGTATGGTCCTGGCGCTGGAGGTGGTTTTGGCAGCGGTTTTGGTCCTGGTGCTGGTGCTGGGTTCGGAAATGGTCAGGGAGGAGGCAACGGCTACGGGAATGGATATGGTAACGGATCTGGGATGGGTCCTTGTGTGAACGGCTCGGATGGCTCCACACCCTGCTGCAACGGATCTGGACCGTGTG